CGTGCTGTGTGTGCTGCAGGCTGCGCAGGTCCACCCGAGCTGTGTTGCTCCGGTCAAAACTCCAACTGTTTCAGAGGGTGTTATTGTGATGAGGCCTGCGTGGTTTTCAATGACTGCTGTCCTGACTACAGGTCAACCTGCACGCAACGTAAGTGAGGGTGAGCCAAACAATAGAAGGTTTCACTGTTAGTTTAGGATTTAAGACTGAGATGAGATTTAAGACTGATACTGCAAATCTTTCTTTCCAACTGCAGTTTTGACCACTGGGCAGCCAAGCACACCAAGCACAACAAGCAGCAGTGCTACACCTACACCAGCAAATGACATCGCAACTACATCATCCACAGCCTTTTCGGCAACATCTGCAGCGACAGATGTGCCTCCATCTTCATCATCCACAGTCTCTTCGACAACAGCACCCAGTACAGCAAGCAGCACCACTGCATCATCAGCTGTGAGCACAAACTCAGTGTCCACAGTGTTTGCTACGACAGCAACCAGCCAAAGAAGCAGCAGCACTACATCTACACCACTAGATGGCGTCACAACTTCAGCATCCCCAGGCACCACGGTAACAGGTTGGTCATTATGATCTCTGCTGAAGCCATTTCAAACATTCACATTTGAAGAAATACATTTATTTTTTATGTTACTGCTAAAAAATATTGGCAAATGTTTGTTAAATTGCTGCTCACTAACAGATTCCTTGTCCTCATAGCAGGTACAACACTGACAGAAACCAGTACAACTCTGCATACCAGTAGTGTCACATCTTCACCAGCAGGTGGCAACACATCTGGAGTCTCCACCAAAAACACTGATTCCTCCACCAGCTCAGCTTCAGGTACAGTCGGTCACATGGATATCTGTGCTTCAGTTACGTAGTTAATAGTTTGAAATACATTTGTATTTGCAACTATCTTTCTACAGATGCCCAAACAGTGACAGTTCGCCTAAAAGTTTCTGTTTTATCCCGTCATGAGGAAAAAGATGTCATTTTAGAGGCTGTATCTAATGTAAGTACAAGCAACTTTCATCACAAAAACAATACTACACACACCTATGTCAGTCACCTAATCAGTGAGTGTCTTCTGTCTCTCTCACAGTTTATATCCCAGACCCTTCTCCATCAGAGCTGTGAGGGCTGCACTATCACACACATCAAACCCACCTGAGAAATGAACCATGATTCAGCCAATGGAGGCAACAGTGTGGCTGCAGCTGTACTCCAACAACAGGCTTCACAACTCTCAGAAACAAAACAATCGTCTCTTAAAACCGAATAAGCTATTAAAGATATAATGCAATGATCAGTAAAGCCTTAGGTAATAAACTGATATGACTCCACATAATTATTCAGCACTATCTGTTAAGAGCTGACTATTAGAGCAGGCCGAGCAGCCAGAAACAGGTCGGGACAGTGCTATTTGGCTAGATGGGGTCTGTAAGTGGTATTCCCTCACTTCAAAGGAGGAGGATGAGCCAAAAGTTTAATTAT